GCCCTTCGCAAATTTGTCATGTGGAGCAGCTTGATTGTGAGGATGATGATGGTGTTTTTGCATGACAAATCATGTAACAGTTGAGAATGTAACATTTGAGAACGCCATAGCGAGGGGTTTTCCCAAGGGAACTGCGTTTATGAAGAAGGTACCGACCTCTGTGTGCAGAAGCCCGTGCCTGCGACGACCCCGCCCGCGCCGACTCCTTCTAGTTCTTCCAGTAGTAGCAGCACTATCCAGTGTAGATGAAACGTTTCCACTTCAGAGTTGTCATTCGTATTCGCATGCCCAGATGGTATTTCATGCGCAGAAGTCCCATGGTGAGCATTTTCTCATGCTGTCTGGGATTTTGTCATGCTGTATCCAGGATAAGATGGCCAATTTGTCGTGACGCGGCTGCACTAGCTAACCAGTAGTACACGAGGGGCCCAAAGTAAAAGTTGTTGTGCGCAACAACCAAAGCTTACTGATTTGTGTAGTAGCAGCATAAAGATTTTTCCCACCTTGTTCTTGACTCTGAGATGTTGAGGATGTCTTTCCACAGGATATTAAGCACCACGGCAGATCCAGCAGGGGAGGGACAATCAACGACGCCGACGGCAGCTGGCGATACTACAACTAGCACTACAACCACCACGGTTGACCACGGCAGCTCTTCTCCCCAGGACTCTTCTTCCGGCACTGGCGATAGTAGTACTGGGGAAAGCATAAGCGATTCGCCTCCCGCCGGCGCCGCGGCGCGGGCGTTGACAGACGAGGAAGCGGCGGCCGCAGCGGCGGCGGGACTCGACGGGGCAGGACTACCCACCACGCAGCTGTGGCTGATTATCGGGGGGATCGTGCTTTTGTTCGTGCTATCCAATGCAAATATGTCTGGGTCTGGAAACTTGTGATGCTGGCTTGCTCAGCATGACAAGTTTCTGAGTTTCTAGGTGTTGCCTATTCTGCATGACAAACTGCGTTTCTGCATGACAGACAAGTGCGGCTCTTGGGTAACGTGCATGACACACTTGAGAGTCATGCCAGACAAGCATGACAAACATGCATTCTTCCAGACCCAGACATATTTGCAATGCATACGTGATCTGTGGCGTTATGGTGGCGTACGGGCTGGGGGGTGGTCATCATGATGAGGAACACTATTATGATATCCTGAGTAAAAACATCCCCACCCCATAGTTGTCATGCAGCTTTGCGATTACAGGAAGATTTGTAATGCGCATCTCCATGAGAGGCATTTCCAATCGCGTTCTGGGATTTGTAATGCTGTAAACAGGATAAGCAGATGGATTTGTGATGCGGTTGTCCTTGCTAACATGCACTACACTACGGACTGCAACTTGTCATGCGTGGCTCCCAAAACTTCTGGATTTGTGTTGCTAAGTTCCGAACTTGACTATGGGGTGGGGACGTTTTTACTTACGATATATGACGACGGAACTGAGCAGGGCGATGAAGACAACTACGGTTTTCACAACAACGATCAGAGTCCTTATCATGGCGGCGCACCAGCATACAACAAAGGCGGCGCGTCTGTTTACGGAGGTGGACAATACAGCACTTTTTACGGCGGAAAGAACAAGGGCAGCTACCACGACGACTCTTATGAAAGCGGCTACGGAGCAGGTGCCGATTCGTACTACAGTGGGGCCGCGGCTCCGCCCCGTGGCCCGAGCGCACGTGGGGCGCCAATTAACACCAGCTACCGGGCGGCGTCTGCGCGGGGGCCGAGCAAAGCTATGGGGGGGAAAGGGAAAGGAGGGGGTGGGTACAATTCGTGGTACTAAGTAGACGACAAGGGCGAGGAGGACGCTGCTGTGGAAGAAAAGTGCTCAGTAGTGTTCCGGTTTTGAGTGCTTTTTTCTCCGGTGTGGGACGCGCTCATTTTTGTTTTGCGGACCACAAAGACGAACTTTGTCGAAGCTGATGTTTTTTTTCTTGTGCACCAATTTGATATGCGGTAGTTGTTTTCTTCCTTCTAGATTGATTTCAAAAACTTGCCAGGAAATAAGTACGTGCTCTGGAGGATGGATTTCAAAAACCACAAAAAATTTCGCGTTTGCTGCCCCCCATTGTCCACCAGCAAGGGCTATTTATCGATCTAGTCCACACAAGCGAACAAGATGAAATGATTGTCACACGACTTGACTGTTTTCGTTTTCCAAGTAGAACGCATGAAGAAAAACCTTGTAGACTTTGTTTCGTTCATGAGCAAGGTCGTACGAACATCGGTTGTACTAGAGATTGTGCGTATGTTTATCTTGAGACAACAAATCATCACTACACGTACAACGCACAAGTAGTTTCAGTGTGCTCGTCGTCCCATTTGTCCGTCGTCCACGTACTCCTATACATGCATTGCAAATTTCCTCAGCATGAGAAATAAAATTTGTATTGCGTTTGTACCTTAAGAAAAATGCAGCAATTACTACGAG